GTCTGGAACTGTAAGCGCTAAGAACTGTGGACACTTATAAATAGCATGGTCGTAGGAACACATACTGCATTTAGTTCTCGCTGTCGAACTATTCCCCTGCTCCGATTGCACGTGACAATTCGTCTTTACGTTATGTCCTTTTCTTGAACGATTCGCTAACCGTCCAAATCTACTACAAGCTACTCTCGCACGCGAAGCGATAAACTGAGTGAGTTCGTGAAACGTCGGCTCTCTGTCATCTGTCAATTTATCCACCCAGTCCGCCCATTGGGCTTGCATAGGTTGAGGCAAGAGTCTCACTATTCTTTCCAAAGTAACTAAAGAATTTAGATCAGAGGTATAATTCATCTGTTCCAAGACCATAGCACAGTTTTCCATTTTAATAGCCAAGTTTGATAATTCCTCCGCGTCAGTATAGTCAAAATTTACAGCACTAAATAAGTTTTCCAACGTTTCCCGAGCGATTACGTGAGACTGTCCGAACAAACGTTTTAGGATTTCCCTTGCCCTCTTGTAACCAGAAGATGCTTCCATCATGACACAACCCTCAATAGCAGCTTTCGCCTTGCCCTTACAGTAGTGCATTAAATAGAGCAAACGTTGGCTATCATCAGTGACTCTTGATGCTACATAGGTCTCGAATTGCCTTATAAACTTCCAATACCCTCTTGCCTGACCATCGAAATAACTCAATTCAACCTTTGGTAGTTCTAGACCAACAACAGGCGTTATGGGCACAACGCTCTTTCCTGCTAATTCAAGCCCTTGCTTCTCCTTTAAACTAAGATTCTTCACGTCATCTGTCAACGAATTAAGACTAGAGTCACTACCATGATAATCAACCCTATTCGAGTCTGAACCATGACACTTAAGGACATCAAAAGGTACTTGCTTGATAATAAGGGATTCTTCATTTACATCAACGAACTTTGAGTTTGATTTCCTTCGACGATTAGTTGGCATCATAAGCGAAATGACCAGATATTTACAGAAACGATAATCGAAATCCGCGAACGATTGCCAAACGACTTCGACCAATTAATATTTGTTTAGAACTGTAGAATCCAAACTACGGTTTGGATAGATGAATAGCCGTCCAGGTACGTCAGACACGCGCCCTTGCCCGTCAAAATCAAAACAAGTAATCGGGTAAATAGCGGTTCTATAATTCATCATAAATTTAAATGTAAATCGTTACCTAAACAAATATTACCACCCGGCTATTCAACCAATAATTGTTCAATCAATCAAATCTAAACTACATAAAATAAAGTTGATAAAAGTTGTGGGAAAATTATCAGTCACAACAAATAAACGCTATTCTATCCTGACTGGATAGATCACACACAGAAGGAGGAGCAAATCAATATGGCTGCCGCCAAGAAAAAGTGTCAAGTAAAACAACATGGATACAGTTCGGGAGGAAGCACAAAAACTTAGTGAAGGTGTAATAAAAATAAAAACTATGATAAAATACAAATATTAACAATCCAAAGGTAATCAAAAAACTAACAATGTACAACTAAGGTGATCAATAGGAACAAAGTGCAAGTATATACATGGAGGGATTTTCACAAACACACAAGGTATTCAAAACAGATCTTACATCGGCCCCCAAAATCCCTCCATATCACACAAGCTACCTTGATGCCTATGGTCATGGTTCATTATGTAGCATATGACACTAGAGGAACGAGTAGGGCTTACAGCAGTACGCCTACTCAACCTACTTACATTGATATGCGAGGAACTAATTCGACCCTTCAAGGAGGCATAATCTACGTATATCTCTTCTGACTAATCTGCCGTTCGTACGAACAACTACCGTTTTAACTCTTCCGTCGTCATCTATTTCACAATCTTCAACTACTCCTAAGGGCCACTTTCCACGGGTCGATATGTCAGAAGCCACGATTACTACATCTCCTTTCTGAAAATTACGGTGTTCAACTATCCATTTTTGACGTTTTTGTAGGGACGGTAAATACTCTCTCAACCATCTTTTCCAAAACACATTAGCAAGATGATTAACCTGTTTCCAACGTTTGTCGCATTTATCTCTGATGCTACCTTCTTCGACTATTCCGTCACATTCTCTTAATAATAACAGACTTTTCGGCGACAAGGCTAGTTTATCGTTAGCATCTTGGACAACCTGAGTCAAGGGTAGATCGTTCAATATTCTCTCAATTTCAATCAAATAAGTGCTTAAGGCCTCATCGGTTAAAGTCGGCTCTTTAGTTATCAACAATAACAGTCGGCGTATATATTTAATCATCCCTTCCCAGACTGCACCCCTGTGGCTGGATGAGGGGGGGATAAAATGCCACTGAATCTGCCTAGCTGACAGTTCTTTGTATATTTTCTGCTGATTCAACTGCTGCACGAGTTTTCTTAGTTCAGAGACTGCACCCACGAAATTTGATCCATTGTCACTGTAAATTCCTGCAGGTTTCCCTCTTCTTCCAATAAAACGTAGCAAGGACATTATAAACGAATCAGTATTCAAACTATGTGTCAGTTCAATATGTACTGCTCGGGTTTGCAAGCAAGTGAATATACATCCACATCTTTTTTTCTAATGATCTTCCTCTCTTGACAACAAAGGGTCCAAAGTAGTCTACTCCCACGGTTGAGAAGCTATACCATCCTGGTTGAACTCTACAAGCTGGAAGCGGCGTCATCAATTGCCGTCCTGTATTTATCGTAAACCGCCGGTATGTCACGCACTTCCTTATCACTCTCTTAACCGTGCTGGTTCCTTTTATTATCCAATACCTTTTTTGAATTATAGCCAATAATTGGGACGTCCCTGTGTACCCTTGTTCTAGTTGTTTTTGTAAGCCTTCTAAAGATATTCCATTGATGACATCTACTGGATCGACTGCATTACCCAAAGATTTACTCATTTTTTTGCCATGAGCATCACGAACCATAGCATGTAAATAGACCGTATGAAATGGTAATTGTCCCATTAATTTCAAACCAATCATAACCATACGTGCAACCCAGAAAAATATAATATCATGCCCAGTTTCTAACAAACTACCAGGATAATAAGATTTTAAGTCTGGTATTTGTTCAGGCCAACCAAATACAGATAATGGAAATAATTGTGAAGAGAACCATGTATCTAATACATCATTATCTTGGTTTAAAGTTAAGTTATCTGGTGAACAATGTAAATTTTCACAGGCTTGTTGAAGTGCTTCTTCAATTGTATGACCAACTACCCATGAATTGTGATCTGTAGGATCTAAAACTTCTAAATTATCTACGCCAGGACGTCGAATCGAAACATGATAAGCAGGAATACGATGTCCCCACCATAATTGTCGAGAAATACACCAATCCTGACAATCTTTAAGCCAATTATTCCATGTACGAATATGGAAACTATGAATAATACGTAAGCGACCTTCAGATACCTCCTTCATTGCCGCATCAACCATGTCCTGACAACGTAGGTACCGTTGAGGTTGCAACATTGGTTCAACAATATCTTTGCTTCGAGAACATATCGGTACAACCACAGGATTATCCTTCTCACCTGTATACAAGCCTAATTCGTCGAGAGCTTTCCGAACGGCATCTCGAGCAACGAATCTTTGAAGTCCTGCAAATCTGGGACCTGTTTGACGCATAAATTTTACCCAATTTAGCCACGCGGACTTATATTGCTCGTTGAGAGGCTGGTCCCAGCCTATTTGGGACTTACATAGTCTTTGCAAGAGGACCTTGGCAGTAAGACAGACTGGAGCAATTAAACCCAAAGGATCGAACGGAGAAGAAACTATAGATAGAACCCCTCTCCTAGTCAGAGGCCTTTCAGGTGCATCGAAGTAAAACTTGAATACATCTTGTTTAAAATCCCATTGTATTCCTAGTGTTCGATGAGTGGTATCATAACTCCTCGACATTTCTATCAAAGACTCTTCTTTGCACAAATCTTTTGTAAAATTACTTTCAATACTTTTGGTATACCTCGCGTGCAGACTGTCATCCTTCAACAATTTACGCTTCAAATTCTGTAATCTACTGTTGGCTACTTCATAATTTCCCACCTTCATATTTGAATTCTCTTCCCATGGTATAGGGACTACGAAATGACCGTTGTCGAAGCGCGTGCCCCCTTCTACAATCTTTATAGCTGTCTTATCTTCTACGGATAATGATTTATCACTTGAATAAGCGTCGGAAAACTCTGCGTCATAAAACTTACGTATTTCGTTCTCTAATGTCTGTATCTTACTGGTATGATTAACAACTCTTTTCCTATATTCCGGATGCGATGCAGGTCCGAAGACCGTCCACCCTAGCAACGTTTTCACAGCGTACGGGTTTCTTCTTCCACCCAATCGCTGATCTAACACCCAGTGTGCTTCTGGCACGTCGCAACCAATCAACAGCAGAACTTCTTCGGAGTCTAATGTATCTATTGGTACATCCCTTAAATGTGGCCACTTAACTAAGTTGTTCACTGCCGACCTTGTTGGCTTATGACCCGGTATACTTGCCGTAATCAGAGCTCCTTCGATCGTCACATGTTCGGACCGATCTAAAGAATATACCTCGAAAGGAGTCCTTGTGGCCGTCATCGTCCTATTACCACTCAGTCCCTACTACCACTGACGCTCGGTCTTCCTTCAGTCCGAGATGCCTCAAACAGCTCGATTTTATCAACGTCACATCAGACCCGTTATCCAACAAGGCATAACCCACCATTTCGGCATTTCCCGCCATCAACCGTACGGGAATCATTCCTAAGCACACTTGGCTACTTAGGGATTTAGTAACTCCACAGCAATTCTGGGTTTCAGACTTATTTACACCGTTGCTTGTCGTGTTAGTGTGCAGCAGAGCATGATGTTTCTTCTTACAACTGTCAACGTTACAGAGCCTTGACATTTTGCATTCATTGACTTTATGTCCTTGTCTAAGACAGACAAAACAGATACCCTTGCTTTTAGCGTGGGACCATCGGTCTTGAACTGTTAGCGCTAAGAACTGTGGACACTTATAAATAGCATTGTCGTAGGAACACATAGTACACTTAGTTCTCGCTGTCGAACTATTCCCCTGCTCCGATTGCACGTGACAATTCGTCTTTACGTTATGTCCTTTTCTTGAACGATTCGCTAACCGTCCAAATCTACTACAAGCTACTCTCGCACGCGAAGCGATAAACTGAGTGAGTTCGTGAAACGTCGGCTCTCTGTCATCTGTCAATTTATCCACCCAGTCCGCCCATTGGGCTTGCATAGGTTGAGGCAAGAGTCTCACTATTCTTTCCAAAGTAACTAAAGAATTTAGATCAGAGGTATAATTCATCTGTTCCAAGACCATAGCACAGTTTTCCATTTTAATAGCCAAGTTTGATAATTCCTCCGCGTCAGTATAGTCAAAATTTACAGCACTGAATAAGTCTTCCAACGTTTCCCGAGCGATTACGTGAGACTGTCCGAACAAACGTTTTAGGATTTCCCTTGCCCTCTTGTAACCAGAAGATGCTTCCATCATGACACAACCCTCAATAGCAGCTTTCGCCTTGCCCTTACAGTAGTGCATTAAATAGAGCAAACGTTGGCTATCATCAGTGACTCTTGATGCTACATAGGTCTCGAATTGCCTTATAAACTTCCAATACCCTCTTGCCTGACCATCGAAATAACTCAATTCAACCTTTGGTAGTTCTAGACCAACAACAGGCGTTATGGGCACAACGCTCTTTCCTGCTAATTCAAGCCCTTGCTTCTCCTTTAAACTAAGATTCTTCACGTCATCTGTCAACGAATTAAGACTAGAGTCACTACCATGATAATCAACCCTATTCGAGTCTGAACCATGACACTTAAGGACATCAAAAGGTACTTGCTTGATAATAAGGGATTCTTCATTTACATCAACGAACTTTGAGTTTGATTTCCTTCGACGATTAGTTGGCATCATAAGCGAAATGACCAGATATTTACAGAAACGATAATCGAAATCCGCGAACGATTGCCAAACGACTTCGACCAATTAATATTTGTTTAGAACTGTAGAATCCAAACTACGGTTTGGATAGATGAATAGCCGTCCAGGTACGTCAGACACGCGCCCTTGCCCGTCAAAATCAAAACAAGTAATCGGGTAAATAGCGGTTCTATAATTCATCATAAATTTAAATGTAAATCGTTACCTAAACAAATATTACCACCCGGCTATTCAACCAATAATTGTTCAATCAATCAAATCTAAACTACATAAAATAAAGTTGATAAAAGTTGTGGGAAAATTATCAGTCACAACAAATAAACGCTATTCTATCCTGACTGGATAGATCACACACAGAAGGAGGAGCAAATCAATATGGCTGCCGCCAAGAAAAAGTGTCAAGTAAAACAACATGGATACAGTTCGGGAGGAAGCACAAAAACTTAGTGAAGGTGTAATAAAAATAAAAACTATGATAAAATACAAATATTAACAATCCAAAGGTAATCAAAAAACTAACAATGTACAACTAAGGTGATCAATAGGAACAAAGTGCAAGTATATACATGGAGGGATTTTCACAAACACACAAGGTATTCTAAACAGATCTTACACCGGCCCCCAAAATCCCTCCATATCACACAAGCTACCTTGATGCCTATGGTCATGGTTCATTATGTAACATATGACACTAGTGGAACGTGTAGGACTTACAGCAGTACGCCTACTCGACCTACTTACATTGATATGCGAGGAACTAATTCGACCCTTCAAGGAGGCATAATCTACGTATATCTCTTCTGACTAATCCGCCGTTCGTACGAACAACTACCGTTCTAACTCTTCCGTCGTCATCTATTTCACAATCTTCAACTACTCCTAAGGGCCACTTTCCACGGGTCGATATGTCAGAAGCCACGATTACTACATCTCCTTTCTGAAAATTACGGTGTTCAACTAACCATTTTTGACGTTTTTGTAGGGACGGTAAATACTCCCTCAACCATCTTTTCCAAAACACATTAGCAAGATGATTAACCTGTTTCCAACGTTTGTCGCATTTATCTCTGATGCTACCTTCTTCGACTATTCCGTCACATTCTCTTAATAATAACAGACTTTTCGGCGACAAGGCTAGTTTATCGTTAGCATCTTGGACAACCTGAGTCAAGGGTAGATCGTTCAATATTCTCTCAATTTCAATCAAATAAGTGCTTAAGGCCTCATCGGTTAAAGTCGGCTCTTTAGTTATCAACAATAACAGTCGGCGTATATATTTAATCATCCCTTCCCAGACTGCACCCCTGTGGCTGGATGAGGGGGGGATAAAATGCCACTGAATCTGCCTAGCTGACAGTTCTTTGTATATTTTCTGCTGATTCAACTGCTGCACGAGTTTTCTTAGTTCAGAGACTGCACCCACGAAATTTGATCCATTGTCACTGTAAATTCCTGCAGGTTTCCCTCTTCTTCCAATAAAACGTAGCAAGGACATTATAAACGAATCAGTATTCAAACTATGTGTCAGTTCAATATGTACTGCTCGGGTTTGCAAGCAAGTGAATATACATCCACATCTTTTTTTCTAATGATCTTCCTCTCTTGACAACAAAGGGTCCAAAGTAGTCTACTCCCACGGTTGAGAAGCTATACCATCCTGGTTGAACTCTACAAGCTGGAAGCGGCGTCATCAATTGCCGTCCTGTATTTATCGTAAACCGCCGGTATGTCACGCACTTCCTTATCACTCTCTTAACCGTGCTGGTTCCTTTTATTATCCAATACCTTTTTTGAATTATAGCCAATAATTGGGACGTCCCTGTGTACCCTTGTTCTAGTTGTTTTTGTAAGCCTTCTAAAGATATTCCATTGATGACATCTACTGGATCGACTGCATTACCCAAAGATTTACTCATTTTTTTGCCATGAGCATCACGAACCATAGCATGTAAATAGACCGTATGAAATGGTAATTGTCCCATTAATTTCAAACCAATCATAACCATACGTGCAACCCAGAAAAATATAATATCATGCCCAGTTTCTAACAAACTACCAGGATAATAAGATTTTAAGTCTGGTATTTGTTCAGGCCAACCAAATACAGATAATGGAAATAATTGTGAAGAGAACCATGTATCTAATACATCATTATCTTGGTTTAAAGTTAAGTTATCTGGTGAACAATGTAAATTTTCACAGGCTTGTTGAAGTGCTTCTTCAATTGTATGACCAACTACCCATGAATTGTGATCTGTAGGATCTAAAACTTCTAAATTATCTACGCCAGGACGTCGAATCGAAACATGATAAGCAGGAATACGATGTCCCCACCATAATTGTCGAGAAATACACCAATCCTGACAATCTTTAAGCCAATTATTCCATGTACGAATATGGAAACTATGAATAATACGTAAGCGACCTTCAGATACCTCCTTCATTGCCGCATCAACCATGTCCTGACAACGTAGGTACCGTTGAGGTTGCAACATTGGTTCAACAATATCTTTGCTTCGAGAACATATCGGTACAACCACAGGATTATCCTTCTCACCTGTATACAAGCCTAATTCGTCGAGAGCTTTCCGAACGGCATCTCGAGCAACGAATCTTTGAAGTCCTGCAAATCTGGGACCTGTTTGACGCATAAATTTTACCCAATTTAGCCACGCGGACTTATATTGCTCGTTGAGAGGCTGGTCCCAGCCTATTTGGGACTTACATAGTCTTTGCAAGAGGACCTTGGCAGTAAGACAGACTGGAGCAATTAAACTCAAAGGATCGAACGGAGAAGAAACTATAGATAGAACCCCTCTCCTAGTCAGAGGCCTTTCAGGTGCATCGAAGTAAAACTTGAATACATCTTGTTTAAAATCCCATTGTATTCCTAGTGTTCGATGAGTGGTATCATAACTCCTCGACATTTCTATCAAAGACTCTTCTTTGCACAAATCTTTTGTAAAATTACTTTCAATACTTTTGGTATACCTCGCGTGCAGACTGTCATCCTTCAACAATTTACGCTTCAAATTCTGTAATCTACTGTTGGCTACTTCATAATTTCCCACCTTCATATTTGAATTCTCTTTCCATGGTATAGGGACTACGAAATGACCGTTGTCGAAGCGCGTGCCTCCTTCTACAATCTTTATAGCTGCCTTATCTTCTACCGATAATGATTTATCACTTGAATGAGCGTCGGAAAACTTACGTATTTCGTTTTCTAATGTCCGTATCTTACTGGTGTGATTAACAACTCTCTTCCTATATTCCGGATACGATGCAGGTCCGAAGACCGTCCACCCCAGCAACGTTTTCACAGCGTACGGGTTTTTTCTTCCACCCAATCGCTGATCTAACACCCAGTGTGCTTCTGGCACGTCGCAACCAATCAACAGCAGAACTTCTTCAGAGTCTAAGTTATCTATTGGTACATTCCTTGAATGTGGCCATTTAACTAGGTTGTTCACTGCCGACCTTGTTGGCTTATGACCCGGTATACCTGCCGCAATCAGAGCTCCTTCGATCGTCACATGTTCGGACCGATCTAAAGAATATACCTCAAAAGGAGTTCTTGTGGCCGTCATCGTCCTATTACCACTCACAGTCCCTACTACCACTGACGCTTGGTCTTCCTTCAGTCCGAGATGCCTCAAACAGCTCGATTTTATCAACGTCACATTATACCCGTTATCCAACAAGGCATAACCCACCATTTCGGCATTTCCCGCCATCAACCGTACGGGAATCATTCCTAAGCACACTTGGCTACCTAGGGATTTAGTAAATCCACAGCAATTCTGGGTTCCAGACTTATTTGCACCGTTGCTTGTCGTGTTTGTGTGCAGCAGAGCGTGATGTTTCTTCTCACAACTGTCAACGTTACAGAGCCTTGATATCTTGCATTCATTGACCTTATGTCCTTGTCTAAGACAGACAAAACAGATACCCTTGCTTTTAGCGTGGGACCATCGGTCTTGAACTGTTAGCGCTAAGAACTGCGGACACTTATAAATAGCATGGTCGTAGGAACACATAGTGCACTTAGTTCTCGCTGTCGAACTATTCCCCTGCTCAGATTGCACGTGACAATTCGTCTTTACGTTATGTCCTTTTCTTGAACGATTCGCTAACCGTCCAAATCTACTACAAGCTACTCTCGCACGCGAAGCGATAAACTGAGTGAGTTCGTGAAACGTCGGCTCTCTGTCATCTTCCGTCAATTTATCCACCCAGTCCGCCCACTGAGCTTGCATAGGTTGAGGCAAGAGTCTCACTATTCTTTCCAAAGTAACTAAAGAATTTAGATCAGAGGTATAATTCATCTGTTCCAAGACCATAGCACAGTTTTCCATCTTAATAGCCAAGTTTGATAATTCCTCCGCGTCAGTATAGTCAAAATTTACAGCATTGAGTAAGTCTTCTAATGTTTCCAGAGCGATTACATGAGACTATCCGAACAAACGTTTTAGGATTTCCCTTGCTCTCTTGCAACCCAAAGATGCTTCCATCATGACACAACCCTCAATAGTTGCGTTCGCCTTGCCCTTACAGTAGTGCATTAAATAGAGCAAACGTTGGCTGTCATCAGTGACTCTTGATGCTACATAGGTCTCCAATTGCCTTATAAACTTCCAATACCCTCTTACCTGACCATCGAAATAATTCAATTCAACCTTTGGTAGTTCTAGACCAACAACAGGCGTTATGGGCAAAACGCTCTTTCCTGTTAATTTAAGCCCTTGCTTCTCCTTTGAACTAAGATTTTTCACGTCCTCTGTCATCGAATTAAGACTAGAGTCACTACCATGATAATCAACCCTATTCGAGTCTGAACCATGACACTTAAGGACATCAAAAGGTACTTGCTTGATAATAAGGGATTCTTCATTAACATCAACGAACTTTGAGTTTGATTTCCTTCGACGATTAGTTGGCATCATAAGCGAAATGACCAGATATTTCCAAAAACGATAATTGAAATCCGCGAACGATTGCCAAACGACTTCGACCAATTAATATTTGTTTAGAACTGTAGAATCCGAACTACGGTTTGGATAGATGAA